TATGTGTATATATGTATATATATATATGTATATATGTATATATATATATGTATATATACGTATATATGTATATATATATATTTTTTTTTTTTTTTTTAATTCAGGCTCCTTATATAATTAGATTTTATCCTGGAAATGAAATTGAAAAAATACAAAAAAAATTTTTTTTTAAATATATAATTAAACTCTCTGTAGGTTCTGTTATTGTTATGAATTGTCTTAATAAAATGACGTCTCTGCTGCACGACTGCTGTCCTCAGCTGACAATTGTACAAGATATTCCTTTATATAAGTGATTCCTGATTCCGCTCAGGTTTTGTCCCTGAGCCGAGACACTCAGGAAAACTCTGGTTTGTGGAGGTCGGAGTTCAGCACTGCAGCGTTCATAACCAGTTTCCAGATCACGCTCTGATGTCTGAATTATTTAGCGTGCGAGCCGCGCCGTTCTCTTTTAATTGCATGTGACATTTTTATGAGTTGTCCCTCTGCTGGTGCTGGTATAAACACCAGTTCTGGAAGGACTGCGTCAAACTGGTCTGTACCGGAGCGACGCGGCTGAACTGGGTAAACGTTGCGTTTACTTCATATCAGTTTCCAGCTGCTGTAACAAGCAAATACTGAGACTGATGGAATTAGTTGGTCTGCGGAGACGGGCTGGGATTAAATCTGACCATCTGTGGAGCACCGTAGTGTTTCTGTCTTCTTTTTCCTCTTGTCCAGTAAATGTACGAAATTCACGTTAACGTCCAGTGGTTACGTTGATCAGTTTCAAACAAAGACATCGTCAAAATTCTGAAAACGTTTTCTGAGTAGTCCTGAATACATAACCCAGCACATTACACCACAGATGTCAAACTCAGGGTTGTGGACCGATCTCAGCTCGCCACGTCATTTTTTGTCGTCCACCAGAGCTTAAGTATGTAGTACAGTATATAGTACAGAATATAATCTAATGTGTACTTGAATACTACAGAATATAATCTAATGTGTACTTGATGGGATGTCATTTATTCAAGTGTTGTTTACCTTAAACAATAACTCCCATAATGCACGGCGAGTTTGTGACCCTCCTGCCGACGTCGTGGCCAAGAAGTTTAAAAAAAAAAAAAATTTAATTCTTGAGTTACTTGTATTTGACAGCCTTTATATTACACCATGGTG